AAAAAACGTATTTGTTATATGTCACAGACATATGGACCATCCTGTATAAATGAGAGTATCTAAAAAATAAATTTCATAAGAAGTAATACAACTTTTATTCTGAACTTTTTTCTGTATATATAATAGTTTACCAGATAAGGGGGTGGCCCATGTTATGTGGGATACCCTGTATCTATTATCTAGCAATTGTTTATGCCGAACTATGTCGAGCGCCTTCGCCAAATTGACTAATATGCAAAATGCGGGATGTTTAAAAAAAGTGAATTATTCATCCTCACAATGTGTCACGGAAGTAGGTATTCTGTATTATTCTACTCAGCGTATTCTTATCCTAGTATTTTTGGAAACTTTCGTGTCACATTTTCCCACCGAATACCACTCTAGCTTCAATTAAAACCCAGGAAATCTTTCTCGAATACGAATATTTTGGAAATTTTACCTAGTCGAAGACGATAATTATTTTGAGTGAGCATTTCATCAGATATCTTGAACTCCATGAAATTTCTTATCTTGTCTTTTGTTTGCTAAAAACAAGTTTCGCGGCCTATAAGCATACAAATAACTATTTACGCTTTATGATTCGTTTTCATCGAATAATGGCAAAATAGTCTGAATATAGAATGCGTTTTTTGTTATCAACGTGTGAACAACAAAATATCTAACAAATTCCAGATATTATATCGAATATTATATCACAAAATTTACTCGGCAAACTAGTTACAATGGAAGATATTTGTACTGAAAACTATTCGGGATATTCTACCTCACAAAATTATTGAATTTTGATATCAACGTTGACCAAAAAGTAGATTGATGCAATTGAATTTACTTATTCATGAGCAGTCCAGCACCAATTAACCCCATAATTGATGGTGGTTTTAGTCTGCGGTATAAATTCTATTCACCTTCATAATTGTGTTATTGACATATTGGGTATATTATTTTATATTAAAATTTCCTGTCGTAATAAATAATACATTGTATATTTCCAACTACGAAAAAGCCAAATAACTTTGAGTTTTTGAAAAGACAATTTCTTTAGGCACTTCCAGTGTTGCCAGTTCGATTTTTCATTCATCACTAAATACTTACCTTGCCAAAAGTTGAGTAGGATTCAGTAGATCTATTCAACATCTATTTTATGCTATTCGAATTTCAGGAACGGTAATGGAATGAACATGTAACGTCAAAAAATATATATTTTTATATAAGAAAAGTAATGAATTTCCAAAGAAATATAGAAACGAACAAAACAAAAATTTTTATTGAAGAAGAAACAGTATAGGTAAACATATTTCCAATTCTCAATTTGAATATACTCACAAATATCACCAAATGAAGTTATAATGGCCCTCATACTTATCAGATTCGAGTATAAAAAAAAAAACAGGAAAAATAGTAAAATTGAACAACAAAAAATACAAAACAAATAAAAAAATCAAACGTAGGAATCAAACTATTATAGCAGCGGGATATAAAAGTCAAATTTCATTTGAATCAGATAAAATCGTGGATAAAATATTGCTCTTTTTTGATTTATAATTTTTAATATTGTTAAATTAATTCGACCAGAGCGTGCCGAAATATAAGTATATATGATTAACTGAAGATTAATTATAATAGGTACCTAATTGAAATGATGAATGAATGACGGCGACTGCACCTGCACCTTCAGTATTCCAGTAAACACCGAGGCAAAGACAGTGTAGTCGTCAGCTCTGACCTGATATCATGCATCGAAGTCTTGGATATTCTAATCATATTGTTTTCTCGATCGAATTGGGAAAGAATTCCTTCACATCATTGACCTTATTCATAATACACAGGGTGAGTCATAAATATTCATGACAAGATGCAATTCGAAATCCCTCATGAATCACATCCTCCCGAAAAATATGCATCGATTCGTATTAAATAAATAAGAATACTGACGCAAGTGTTTCTTCTTTCAATTTAGGGAGGAGTTAATTCACAATTTTGCGTGGCATTAGTCAGGAGAGTAGTAGTTTTTCTTACGTCATCTATGTGTTTATTAGTATTTATTCAACATATCAGTCCACTCTGAGCTTTTTTGGTATTCAGGTAGTTGTAAATTTTAGCAATGAAATGATATCATGGGTGAATTGAATTTTCATGAAATATAATGTTGTTGTTGAATGGACGATATTGGATAAACATTTCAGTATACGAGGCGTTTTTGAAATTAGTATACATATATTCAGCACATCAATATGATACAGTTTAACGGATATTCGCGAAATGTTAGATCTTTTCCAATTCTTCCAATTAACGGGGAACACCACCTGGGAAATTGAATAGAGAAACGAAAGAAAAAAATCAAGTACTCCCCTTCAAAACAATTTAAATGATGGAACTTCGCGTGGTTGTGCCTTTTACATGGAAATTTGTACAGAGGTGACGTCAGAATTGCTACAGTATAGAACTCAGGGTGGATAAAGGGGTCACACCCTGAATTTTATTCCGCTGCCCGTATTTTTTTCATTGGCACCATTCGATGGTATACGCCGAGCTTCCTTCGGGTGCGTTATATTTGTTTCTATTACAATGTCACCCTGTACAGGAAGTACTCAATCATGGAATATTTCAAAAGACACACTGAGGAAAAAACACTAATAAAATTTTCTTGTTATGTCTGAGTTGATGACTGTTATTCAATTTCTAATCATATTCACTAATGTTATATACGGATAAAAATAGCGCCAACGACAAGTTGCCATAACTTGAGACGTTTTATTGGGAGTATATCAATTGACTCAATTGGTCTTCTTGTATAATAATAATAATGTCTAAACCTATGATAATTGACGCAGACGAGTGAATCTTTATCATATTACCGTAACTTTTTACCGAATTACTTTTATAGGTGAAATGAATAACGATTGTTGACGATTGTTTGTCGAGTACAAACGAACTGTGAGTTCTGATTCTGAGTTGTGATCGAGTGTGGTCTCGAGAAACTAATGGGTTAGAAGTGTGGGTATCGTGGGATTGGGCGAGAACAGGAGCCCCTCACGGAGCATCCTGAACTTCGCCTTTTGAAAAATTGAAATTGAAATTTTTTCTTTTTTCTTTTTTTGTAATATTAATTTGTCAATTTTTTCAATTTTGTCAATTTTCAATTTTCAATAAAGTCATTATTATTATTATTATTATTATTATTTAGGAGTGATATTTGAATTTGAAATGTTGGAGTTAATTCATTTTCAACCAATGAGTACTCTAAATGTGAGGTATGTTTCAATTTTTTTTGTCTATCATTGAACTTGTTTGTTCTGAAGTTCAATTTTTCCATTTCTTTCCATCCACACAGTTCAGTTCAGTTCTCCTCCGACTCCATGACTGCAACATTCATATTTTTGTCGCAGCAATTTGTCATTACCTACAGGTGAATAGAATAATTTTTTACTAAATAATTTTCCAGAATAGAAAAAGTCTATTTGGTACATTTATCCTTCGAAGTTTATATTCAGTGAAACGTTTATCATGCATGAGAAAATCGAGTGATTTAAATACCGCTGAATTGAAGGAAAATTAATATATTGAGAAAGTAAATCTTCTCATACATTGAAAGTGCTTTGATGGGTGAAAAATAGTGTTTTTTCAACATAGTATTTTTTTGATACTCCGTTTCCTAGAGTTTCTCGGAAAACTTTCAAATGGATGTTATATTCACTTACAGAGCTTCGAAAAATAAATGTGTCAAATAAATTATTTCTAATCTGGAAAATTATTTGGTGATAGATTATTCGATCATCAACTTAAAATAGCTAGGGTCAATAATTATTTCGATAGAGATGTTTTATGCCTGTTGAATGTTCCGGAGAATAACAGCGAATGACTCTTCAATTATAGAAACACACATTGATGAATGACCGTAATTCGTCGACGGTGTAGCCGAGGATTTAGCCTTCAAATCATGCTCTATTGAATTATCTAGTTACTATCATTGGGTCGTCATAGCAAAATCAATTGAATACCAATAATAAGACAGCTAGGCTGTCTCCTATTTAATCAACTCAAGCAACTTAATTGCCAAAGATCGTATTCTAGGAGTCATTCGAATATTTTCGTAGATCTCAAGTGACTGAACACCTATACCATTTCGTAGGTATAATTTTATATTCCTTGATCTCGTTAGATGGATATTGCAAAAACGTTGATCATCGTGATATCATTATTATCAATATACAACAATTTAAAAATTTTACAAAATTTTTCACAATACCATGATGAAGTGATCATTATCACCGTTATTATCATTATCACCTCCTATCTAATTATTTACGAACATATAATAATAATTCAATATTATAATCATTCCCATTTTTATGGGTTCTGTTTTTTCCCGCCGCTGACCATAAAGCGTTGATGCAATGCTCGTGCATGGCGCAATGGGCTTATATCACAAAAAAAATTATTACATAATTCGATAGAACTCACCCAAAGTAGCTCACCACCGCAAACCGTTTCTTGCTGTGAGCTCCCTACGTTTTATAAGAAATTATTGAAATCCCCGATTTTTCGGACCTCTGAAAACGAGGCGATGATGTGACGTCAAAACCCTATTACTGAAACAAGACTATTCCAGACAGAGATGAATGATACATGATTTCTGACAGAGTGAATTAGCGCGAGATCACAGTTGAAAGAATTAATATATCAGTTGCCTCAGTCTCTGTCGGGCGTTTGGTATTTTCTTTCAACTTTGGCGAGATGAGGTTTCTACGTCATAAGAGGGTCCGTTTTCAGAAGGTGCTATTATTTATGTCCAAAAATAAAATATTCCAGTTAATTTTTCGATCGAATTATGTCGTCAATCATTATTTATGTATAAAAGGATCATTATAAACATGGTTTGAGTTAAAAGTTCTACTAAGGGGTACACGCCCATTGTGTATCAACGAACTCGATCATGCTGTGCAACTGGCTCAGATGTTAAACCCCTAAACAAAAAATCCCATTATCCCTTGTATACGAACCTACGACAGCCAACCATCTCCACAAATCCCAGTCAGCCACCTTCTGGATCGCCTCAGTTGCCTTTTGTTGACTGGCCCCCAGTGTTTGTGACAGAGACCTCGCCAGTACGTCTAACGAATGAGTGGATTCATACACTTCTGTTCTCTTCTTGTTCAGGATCGCTTTCATATCTGAAATTAATTTCATTGTTTCTCAGACCAGTCAATGTGAAGGTGTGATTCAAACTTCTTGCCTTGGGCTCATAACAGAAATAGGTAATTTGCAAATGAAAACTCGGCAGAAAGGAATTGACCGAGTAGAGTCCCATAGTTATCAAGCTAATGTATTTATAAGAAAATGTTCATGATGAAAGTATTGTTGCAAAGTATATGTTTTTTCAGGATATGGAAAAGGAATGGAAACTTTGCGAGAAAAATAATTTTCTGACACTATTTCGAAATATGATGAAGAATGTTTGAATATTACGAAATATAACTTCAGTTTACCTCGAATATACACCGTTACACATTTTCGAATAGAAGCAGCACATTAAAATTCTATGATACAATATGGATTTTGCTAAAAATGAATTTTCTGCCACAAAAATGTATACCGCTGATGATGTCGCTATCAGACATATTATGCCTGTGGCTGCGAGGTTTGTTAAATAAAACTGCACTCATTACGGCCTGCTACGAAAATAAAATTGGACGAACCTACTTGGGGTTATTCAGCGCCTACTTATCGTTATTCGATATTTTGATGTTTGCCCCCTTTATGAGCATTTATCAGATATCTTGGCCTGCTGTTGCAAATGCATGTACAAGACGCGACAATCTCGACGACGACACGATTGTTACGAATGCTTCCTCTTCTGAATCCAATTCATTATTCAAAATCTGAATCATAATTCGAAAATGTAATGAAAACGTTTTTAAACGAATAAAAAATCTTCTGAGTAGATGAGAGTGTGAGTATGAGTGCCTCAGTTATCACTTGGATCAATGGAATGGATAAAGTTGAGTTTATTTTCACTGAAATATAATTATTTCACATTCCTCCTCTTTGGTCTAATGGAACTTCGAAATTGTCAAATTGTTTCTTTATAGAATGTGGTCTAGAAACGAATTCTGAGCAAAAATGTTCATGTTATGAAATTATTTGAATGATTTCACGGATGAATATATTTTATCTGTATACACATATCGGTGATGACTTGCCTAGTTTTCGAAATAAATTGCTTCCGAAAGTTTTCAGGGAAAATGTTTTACTCATTATTAATTACCTATACCTACTGAAAGACCTCCAGTTTTGCCTGAGGGTGAATCAATAGTACCCATCTACTGGATTTCATATAGATCTTCGGTTTGGAATCTAGAAATTGCTATTCATACCAATTAGGGTAACAATTATGAGAAGTGATATGTGTCACCTCTTCTTCATGACAATAATCCTGGAAAACAACTGAATAACTACAGCAAGAAGGTCATGCAACTATTCACTATATATGCAACAAACTCTTTGAATCGTTTTATATCGAAAATAGTGAGTACTATCGAAACTAAACAGGAGTACAATTTTCAAGTGAATATGCTGATATTCTCATATCTCCTTGTCAAACTACAAAAAATTGCACTAACGAAGAAGTTGGGGAAAAAAGTTCTCCTAGCTCCACGTATTTTCCACGCCGCCGAATAATATTTCGGAGATTTCTCTAATTTTCGAATTGGGCATAGTGATAAGAGAATGTACGAAGATGGAGATTTTATCACAGATGGTTTCGAAAATATCAACCAATAACCATCATCTCGGGCTCTCCTCTATATGGCAATAACCCCTAGTGAGCCATTGCTGAACCCATATTTATATAACATATTTAAATCTGTACCTAGAATCCGTAGTTGAAATATTGTTATGTTATTTGGGGACACCCTATTCATGGAAAACAAAAGTACGTCTGTCTCAAATATATCAGCCGCCATTCAAAAACAATATGACCGAAAAATAGATTTTTCTTGGAATTTCAATAACAGTACAATTTTTGTGAGATAATTCGTCTTCACGAAAAATTGTTTGAGCAAAATATCTCACATACATATGTCACATTCCCAAAGTTTTATCAATTTATACATCTTTGATATTACTTCCCGTATTTGAATAATTAGCAATAATAAGTTTTCAGCCCATATAAAATATCCCAGACACAGCTTGATGATTTCATGTAATTCATGCATCAGTTATCAACATGTTTTTCAAATTTCACAGTTGTAGTCATACTCACAACATTCTATATAGATTGAGAACATAATATGTTAGAAATATGTGATGACTCCGCTGCATCTCGGGCATATCGGTTTTTGAAATGAATGTGATATGAAAAGCCGCCATTCAAAAACAATGTGACCGAAGAATATATTTTTCTTGAAATTTCAATAACAGTGCAAAATATTGACATGAATTGAGCAAACATATTGAGAATTTTCAAGTGAGCTTATGGAAAAACCAGAAGGATATATTTTTGTGAGATAATTTGTTTCACGAAAAATTGTTTGTTTGAAAAAAATATCTCACATACATATGTCACATTCCCAAAGTTTTATCAATTTATACATCTTTGATATTGCTTCCCGTATTTGAATAATTAGCAATAATAGGTTTTCAGCCCATATAAAATATCTCAGATACAGCTTGATGATTTCATGTAATTCATGCAGTTATCATGCAGATATATGATATTCTCAGAAGTTATTTGACAGAGAGAACGCAAGAAGTAGAAGTGAATTCAATATGTAGTGAAGAAAATATAGCTAACTTTGGGGTGCCACAGGGTACCGTACTGGGTCCGATTCTAATTATTATTTATATGAATGATTTGCTGAATCTTGAATTGAATGGAACAATCATCAGCTATGCAGATGATACTGCCTTATTTTTAGAGAGTGATAATTGGCAAAGTCTTAGATTATATGTAGAAGAAGATATTGAAAAGGTAAAAATGTGGTTTGATCACCGAACTTTAACAGTTAATTATAAAAAAAAAACTTACTTTTCACCATTTGCCTGCACGAAAAATGATCTACCAGAATTCTCAATATTGGATATTGATCAAAACATTGAAATTGATATAACAAAAAATATTAAGTATCTTGGCATAACTGTTGACAGTCATCTCAAGTGGGATGAACACATCAGGAAAGTTTGCAATACGCTGAGAGTTTTCATTTTCAAATTCAAGAAATTGCGAAATATTCTAGACATTTCTTGTCTCAAGATTATCTACGCATCCCTCATAGAATATAGGTTGAGCTACGGGATACTCAATTGGGGTAGTGCTTTAAAACAGCATCTAATAAAATCAGAAGTGGTGCAGAAATGGATTCTCAAAGTTATTATGAGAAAACAAAAGACATATTCTTCTGACAATCTTTATGAAGAGGCGAATATACTAGATATTAGACAAATTTATTTTCTGAACACAGTCGTCTATCAACACAAATCTAAGAAATATAGTGAGAAAGCAGATCACGATCATAATACAAGGAACAGAGATAATTTCAAAGTGCCCTTCTCACAGAAATCAATTGGACAGAGGAATATCCTCTATCTTGCTCCCAGACTCTATAACTCTCTACCAAAAAAATCCATGAAATATATCAACTGAAATCATTCAAGTCAAATGTGAAGGAATATATTCAAAATGTTAATAGAGAAGTAATCCATGAATTCATTGAAATGAAGAATACAAAGTGATAATGTTGTGATAATTTTCTAGTGATTATATAAAAATTGAAATTCTTCTAGTTCAAATCGATAAACATTTTTTAGAGACAACTGTGCATGTAGATATTTTTCCCGAGATTTATTCCATCAGTCTATTTGTAGTGTTTTATAATTCACGTCGATATACCTTCTCAAAAAAATGTGTGTATGTATACAGGGTGTTTCCTAACTACGGTTCCTAACTGCAGGGAGTGATTCGTTAGGTCATTTCAGAAAGAAAAGTTCCCATTAACATATGTCCGTAGTTGCTTCGTTTCTGAGATACAGGGCGATGAAATTGAAGAAAAAAAAACGGTAAATACAAAATATCATTAATATCCTGGAACCGATTCGGTTGAAATTTGATACTTTCATTTGAACTGATAAGCCGCTTATTGAGCTATATTGAGATTGAAATTCTTGTGGCCAGTGTCGTCTCAGTGGGCACCACAGTCAACAATATCTTAAAAAAAAGTACGCCACTGACTTTTCTTGGTGAATTTCTAGTTTTTTCAGATTAAACAACTCAAAATACAACTTTTTGGTCTCTGGTATTTTCTTCATATCCAGCTTCGTTTTCGAGAAAAAAAATTAAAGCCACTGTATTGCATATCATGAACACCTGCATTGGAGAAATGAGTTTTTATTATTTCTGCCAAAAATATAATTGGTACTTGATATGCTCATATTCAAGCAAACTTGACAAATAAAAGTACCAAATTTCAACCAAATCGGTTCCAGGATATTCATGATATTTTATAATTATACCATTTTTTTAATTTCAACGCCCTGTATCTCAGAAACAGAGCAACTCTGGACAAAGGTTCATAGGAACTCCTCATCCTAAAATGACCTAACAAATCACCCCCTGCAGTGAGGAACCGTAGTTAGGAAACACCCTGTATATTGTTTTTCAGATATTTATTCAATTAGTGAATTTGTATTGTTTTTTTTTAGTTCATGTTTCAAATTCAAATTATAGGCGATATCTTTTACATATATACATTTAAAACTATTTTGACCACAGACACTCTTTGACTTTGTGGATTCATTGTTTATTAGTGTATAATGTTCCTAAATATGTATGTAATTCCTGTAATTACTGTAATTCTTTTCTCCAAATAAACTATTATTATAATTATTATTTTGTCAGCATGTTTGTCAAATTTCACATTGGTAGTCATACTAACAACATTCTATATAGATTGAGAACATAATATGTTAGAAAGATGTGATGACTCCGCTGCCTTTCGGGCTTATCGGTTTTCGAAATGAATGTGATATGGAAAGCGTAGAACGCAATAATCAATCAAACCATGTCCTCTGCGAGAGCATTCTGACGGGACATATTTTCCAGGGTTATTTTGTATTCTGCTACTTTGCATTTTTCCTTATTTATTTTGCTTAAATGTAGCGTGTATATGGGACACAACAATGCATGAGCGAGTGAATTCATTCTGAAAGTTCAACGAAGTGTGCATGCGGAGATAAAGTTGCATACTGAGTTAAAAAAGATACTTTTTATGGAGCTTTCGTCGTATGCGCAAAAATAATGAAAAAATCGGTGTTTGTGGTTGACTCCATTTCAAATTTCCTCTCAGAAGATAACTAACTGGTCATAATTTCAATCATTAGGTTGAAAATATGCTTGATCAAATTTGAACGATGATATGTCTGCAGCTCCCATAAACTGGGATATTGTACACTCGTCTTCAGAGGACATGTCGTACATGGACGGTGTGAGCTCTCTCAATCACTGCTGCAAAAAGAACGCTCAAACCGTCCAACCGAGACATGTTTTCTGAAGACGAATATACTTGTGGTTGTCTTCATGTTACTGATAGAGGTTGAAAAAGCTATGATGGATACGAATAGCACGATAGGAGATACAGGGTGTCGAAGATCAATTTTTTACTGTTTTTTGTTTCTGAATATTCGTGTTTTAAAAATGAAATCCGGTTTTTATTCGAGGCTAGAGTGGTACTCGGTGAGGCAATTTCACACCAAAATATTATTGAAATAATACTAGGATAAACGACGCTAGCTAAAATACAAACGACGTTATATAGTTACGTAAAATATTGATAGGCATCAGCTGGTTCAAACCATTGTTCTCGAACAACTCCATTCCACTGAAAATTGTGGAAACATATTTTGTTAGAAGGAACTCGAAGCAGTATGTAGTATTAATAGAATTCAGATCCATAACATCGTTAGGTTGCATAAAACACAATTAAATGACTTTTTTCCACAAACGTCAAAAATGACAAGGCTCGCGCATTGATAACATATTGCGAAGTCACACTTTTTTACGTTACCATGATACCTTGCACAAAACAATGCTTGAAGTAAAACAGTGCGCGATATATAAAATATAAAACATCCACGAAATCATTTATTTCTGAATGTTCAACAATAACTTCGTTTTATCTCTTGGAGCGCACGAAAGGAAATTTCTATTATGTTCGTGGAACATCGTGCGTACCTATAGGGAGGATAGGAGGAGGCCTTTTGAACCAATCCAACACTATTTTTTATATCGAGCTGAACATATTTTTACTTTAGAACTATATTTTTTGACGTTTTTAGAAAAAATGTTGTTTGCAACTCGAGCGCGAAATACTTTGGTCATCTCGACTATTTTTTTATTAGTTCATTTACATTACGTATGACTGTTTTTGGTAATCAGCTGTTTTTGAGAGAACCGCTAGGCCTACAGATACAAATTTAGTCTCAAATGAAAGCTAATTGAATTTACAACAACTTCATTTGATGAAATATTTGACGTAGGAAGCGTATTTTTGAAGGTAATTCACAAAGTAGGTGACCATTTTGAAGAAATTCCACTTTTTCGAAAAAATTGACTATTTTCGAAAAACTATCTTGAGAATCAACAGCTGTATGGAGCTCGCCTTGGCATCGGATTGTAGCAAATTTAGTTATCTTCAAAAGTTTATAGGGTGACTATAGCGGTCAAACCCTTTCTTCTCTAAGATATTGAGCGAAAACTGCAAGGAATCCGAACATTTTATATTTCTTTGGGTATACCGTCGCTCGCACAGCAGTTTGGAAATTGCAAATCTAGTTTTTTGATATTGGTTTGAGTCGTAACAATATATAGGAAATTCAGAATGATCGGACCTCTTGCAAGCACGGATGTGCATCTTGATTGGACTACATCATCAAGATCCAAGATTCAGGGCCAACCAAATCTACTTCCTGTAAGTGATGCAAGGAATTATAAGTACTTCGATTATTCTGACATAATATTCAAAGTCATTATCTTCGAATATTTCATTAAATCATTTTAGGTATAGCGAAAATAACGATATGCAAGTTACAGCATATATGAAGTTTAGCAAAATAATTTTTACTTACATTACATTATTGTATATCGACAGTCAGTGGAATTCAAGTATCCTTCATTATCACAGTATCATCAACGATACAACCTCCATTCAGACATTAACGGTCTAGATCACAAATATACGGTCTCAAAATAAATCGATTTTTCGATATTTGCTAATGGAAACGAATAATAATGAAGTCGATTATAACAAATGACAACGACAAATTCGAAGAATGTCAAATGTCAAATAATGTCATAAGCATTTGGCCGTGTGATGTTTTGCCAACCGCCAAGTTGAATCGGTAGCGTGGTTATTATGGGTTGGCCAATTTTTGAACATTTTCTCTGATGAAAATTTGTTGATAGCTGGAAATTCAACAATATTCTTTCCATTCATATATTCATTGTATTTCTAGAACAAATATTATCTGAAGTATTCATGGAAATATATCCAAATGTCCCAAGTATATGCTACAATATGCCCAGATAGATATGATAACAAGAACATATGCTAGGAATACAATAGGGATATTAGCTGAGTGATTTGAGTTGAAACATATTTCCAGCATATGCTAGGGATAGGAATATACTTCGATTGCTATGTGGGTTGTATTTATCTTGTTGAATATGTTAGCATCATCTGGAGAAGATTCGAGATACTTAAATTTCCTGAAGATGCTAACATAGTGAAACACGTGTGGGGATGGTCGATAAAGGTTTGGTTTGAAGTAGAACATGTTGTGTGATATCATTGTGCCAAAGATTTTAGTGTTCGTTCAGATGTCAAGATGGAATAACTATTAGTTGGGGAATGAATCTCTACTTTGATATTAGAATTCACAAAATGTACCTGATATGTATACGTCCGTTTCCAAGGAGAGTTGTGAAACCCCAAAGAAAGCTTCTCGAGCCCCATCGATACTGTTATTGAAATTCTCATCTGTGGATAGTAGCTGCAGCTGTTTTATTTCCGGATCGTTCAACAACTGAAATATATATAATTGAGTATATGCTTGTGCTTAAGTTTGCGTTGTATCTATTCATACTACTGACAGAGATTATACACTCTGCTACTGATGAAGATGAACATTCACTCAATGGGCTGTAATCTATGTCAATGACGTTCGAAATGATTGAATTCACATTCCGCAATGAGCCTGTAAGTACAACTATGAAAAATAATAACCAAGTTTTTTTTTGGTACACCACGAAGGAACAATCACTTCAGGATGATTAGGGTGTTATATATATGAGTACCAAGTAAACTCTGATGATGACACTGATTCGTATTCGTCCATCATCATCATCCGTGCGGCAAGAGGGTTAGCATTATTACGACTTCAACGGGCCTGTTTCGGTAAAAAAATGTATTTCAATACTCTGAAGTACCTACTCATTTAAACTCGTTGAGTGTCGAGAATGTTTTTATCCTCAGAGCTCTGTATTCATTTTAGATGATTGAAATTCACTATAATATGAATACCTAACGCGGGACAACGCGTGATGTCATGATATCCCGCGATAGATAATTCGCAACTATATACGATAAGACTTATGTATTGTATGTATATCAACATATCAACACTACTACTGTGGAAGTCGGATTATTTGGAGACAGACCCAGAACTTGGGTTTGTGCTTCCTTGGGAAGGTATACTTCAGTATTCCAGGCAGAGGTGCATGCTATTGAGGCATATCTGAGTGAGAATATCGTGAGAGGATACAGAGGAAAATAAATCCTCATATGCTCAGATAGTCAAGCGGCCATCCAACCTTCAACATGCAATGAAATCAGATCTGGTATTGCCTTCAATGCCTGCTTACCCTGGCTAACCACAACAAGGTAACGTTTCGATGGGAGTCAGGGTATAAGTGGCTTGAAGGCAATGAAGCAGCGGACGCTTTTGCTAGTCGAAGGCTCAAAGGTCTGCGGCGTTTCTTATGGGACCGGAACTTGTGTTCGGAATGTCGTAATCCCCAAAACCTCAATACGCGGTCGGCTGGCAAGGTGGACGCAAAAGAAAGACATCAGAAATACTGGAACAACGTTCCAGGACAAAGATACAGCAAACTGATGGTTGGAACATTGTCCAGAACATTGAATACCGACATTCTGAGCCTAAACAGAAGTTAGATCAGACAAATGACGGAACTAATAACCGATCATTGCCCCTTGAGGAAGCATATGCATCAAATGTGCATCTATACAGACGAACCCATATCCTGACTGAGCAATGAGCAGGAGGAAACGGCCAGTCATGTAATATTGGAGTACGAGGCACTAGCGCGTTGTAGATACAACCCTGACTGTTCATTCTGCTGTAAAATCAATCAATCACTATTAGTACGGTGTTATTAACCTAAAAAAAATTTTGATAATTTTTTTGAAAAATAACCTTCGTAAAAGAATGTTGCTATTTCAGTGGCCGGTGGTATGTTAGTAATAAGCCCTTGAAGGAACGAAAACCTCACCACCTTATCAAGGGGCACTCTTTTTTAAGGAAAAAGAGGCTTCCACAGGCCTAGGCCATATAAACCTGTGGTACGGAGAAACCCACCCTGAACTTTCTACGAACATTGCAACATAAATTCACTTCTTAAGCATAAATATCTTTCAAATTTGGAATGTTAAATGTCTTTATTAACTTCACTCATCCTCCAGCACATTATCCTCCTCCTCTAGCTCGTCGTCTAAGATGTTATAATTGTCCATGTTATCACATGCTTGGCCTGAGCAATTGCTGCATATGCTAATGCAGTTTAGACCACTCCTTCTGCATTCACAATTACGAACGCATTCATCTTTGCAAGTACACATTATAAGGGACAGTAATTCCTGGGGGGCTGCAGGACGCCGTGCTGTTGTAATTGGTGTCAAGTGGTCGCCAATCTTCTTCCAAGCCCACTCGAGTGGACCCTTATCTTCATGCAGCCACTGTTGTACCTGGTGGTGGGTCCTAAACGAATGCTGTCTGGACGCTCCTGAAGTGGGGGGTAGTGCATCCAACTTCAGTAATGCATGTATAGGCTGCTTTGCAATCGCTTTCAAGTAGGACTGATAGCGGAGACGATCTAGATCTTCAGTGTTCTTGGCTCCAAACATTGCAAGTAGGAAGTAATTTTCTGCATCAGCCACTGCACTGGGGTCGGCTTTGGGGTTGTTGAAGACCAGGAGTTTTTCACGAAGAACGTTGTTGGCTTGAACTTTTCTATAAGGTGCAATTTTTCCCTTCTTATAGACAGCAGACACAGTGTCACATTCTGTGAAGGCGTATGTAACCAGAAGTACATTTTTCATATCCCCAATGCCTTGCTGAATGTCAGAAATAATGTACACTTTTTCCTGGTGATTTTCTTCTTTAGGTACGACCATTTTCAGTTTATTTCCTGAAGGTGCGTGGACAGTCAACAGTACTAATAAGTCCGTGTCATCACCAATAACACACGTTTGCGATTGCAAAGCAGCCTATACATGCATTACTGAAGTTGGATGCACTACCCCCCACTTCAGGAGCGTCCAGACAGCATTCATTTAGGACCTACCACCAGGTACAACAGTGGCTGAATGAAGATAAGGGTCCACTCGAGTGAGGTTGGAAGAAGATTGGCGACCACCTGACACCAATTACAACAGCACGGCGTCCTGCAGCCCCCCAGGAATTACTGTCCCTTATAATGTGTACTTGCAAAGATGAATGCGTTCGTAATTGTGAATGCAGAAGAAGTGGTTTAAACTGCATTAGCATATGCAGCAATTGCTCAGGCCAAGCATGTGATAACATGGACAATAATAACATCTTTGACGACGAGCTAGAGGAGGAGGATAATGTGCTGGTGGATGAGGGAAGTTAATAAAGACATTTAACATTCCAAATTTGAAAGATATTTATGCTTAAGAAGTGAATTTATGTTGCAATGTTCGTAGAAAGTTCAGGGTGGGTTTCTCCGTACCACAGGTTTATATGGCCTAGGCCTGTGGAAGCCTCTTTTCCCTAAAAAAAGAGTGCCCCTTGATAAGGTGGTGAGGTTGTCGTTCCTTCAAGGGCTTATCACTAACATACCACCGGCCACTGAAATAGCAACATTCTCTTACGAAGCTTATTTTTTTAAAAAATTATCAAAATTACGAATAAGTAAACATTTACACCGTCTGTAATTCTTGAACCGTACAATTTAGAGTGATTATGAAAAGGACCATTCTTATTTAAAATTTAACGTAGAACATTTTTGTATATAACAATGTTTGGGATAAACCGCTTAGTTTTCGAAATATTCAGGAAAACTAAAAAAACTAGTGATTGTTCAAATTCCCCCCCCCCCCTCACCCCCAAACCCGACGCTCAAAATGGTGTAACTTTTTACCATAGAATAAGGGGACTATGAGCAATTTGGTGTTGGAGGAAAACTTTTACTTTGGATGTTGAGGTTCAGGTCTAATTACACCGTACTATATGGAAGTGAATTCTCACTCCTATGTTCTAAAATGAGCTCATATCACGTCATCGAGAGCTAGCGTTTTTGAGAGGTGATTTCTCTGAATATTGTGAAAAAATATTCCAAATGATTTCAAATAATAAATGACTATATCAAATACTATCGATACATGGAATGATCAAGATATAAAAAAATATATACCTAGCGTTAATTCGACTAGTGTGTACAGTCCTATCAATATATTATATATATGAGGGTGATTCACAGGCCACTGTACATACTTAATGAATATTTGAATTGATAAATTCGATATGATTACCAAGATACAGGGTCATGTTACTTTTTTCGAAATAATTGATCAACCTTGTATCTCTCTATTCGTTTGATACAATTTCCTGAAGATCTCTCAGACAAAGTACACTCTTCACATTTGAATTTTCGATCATGCCTGATATTCCTGAAACTACATGGATTGATGGACAAAAAGATGTGAATAACTCCCTTGGCACATTGAGAGTACCTTTGATAGTTATTTATACACCAAGTAAGTGAAGAATATCAGTATCAAACAGGGATCAAGATTATATCCCGAGGCATCAATCTACCCCTCGATTGATTAAGGTGAATATAAAACTTTTTTCAGTACTAGCAGGATATTTTAACCACTAAAGTTCTGTGAAACTGAAATATGGACATATTGTCACTATGAAAGCACTCATTTTCAATTCTGATTGAAATAAATCTAGTAGCCATTATCATGACAGCTTATTACAAGTCGGTATAGTTCGAGAATCATCTTTGCGAATATTGCATAGGAACAGAGTGAATTCGGGTCAATTATATCAGAGGTGGCTATGTGTTTATTGACTAGTGGTTTATAAAATAACAGAAACTAACTTGGTAGTTAAAACACACTTCACGTACAACATATTCTTTTTCTGCAACCGACACAAAAGTCGTCCATTTTGATACCAAAATTAGCTCTTAAATTGACGTTTCTATTACTGACACAAAAATAGGTATGTTGCTAGGCAACATATTTAGTTCCTAGGAGCTAAAGTTGAATTTTAGTTCCTAGGAGCCAAAGTTGAACTTTAGCTCCTAGGAACTAAAAAGGAACTACTGGACGTCCTCAAGAATAAACAAACTTGTGACGGTTGGTTATTTGGGTTGAGTGGCATACCTGATTTGTTTCCGATTTCAGCAGATTTGGCATTTCATACCCATGCTGGAGATATAAATACACCTTATTATAGTTTAGTATTGGAATTATAAACATCTCAGTTGAGTATTTTTGTTTTGATCAGGGAAGCCTTCAAGATTCAAATACTTGCTTGATCTGTATTTCATTCGTTATTCTCGGGATGGATAACTTGTTTTTGGATAATCACGGCAAGCGATAGTTTTTTGTCTCAAACAACGATATTGTTAACCTTCATTTGATTATCAAGCGACAAACATTGTATTACGGAGAGGAAAAAATAATTGCTATTCTTATTGTTGATGTGCTCACTAACCTAACATTTTCCAAGTCTTGTTTCTATAGCTGGCA